TAAGCAAACTAATCTTAGTTATACTGAACTTGACATACTAAAATTTCTTTACCTACACAACTCTGGAATGTTTTTCTCACAAAAATACTGGTAAGTGATTTTTTTTCAGGATGTTTAAGTAATGCACAGTCTAGTCCATTGCATAGATTTCTGAATTTGGAAGTAATGAGTGAGTATATTATATTATATTCATATTGTGAATAACTATCTATTACATGTGTTCAAAAAACAAACCAAACAACACCAAAAAAAAAAAAAAACAACAACCAAAAAAGAAAAACAAACAAACAAAAACTCCCTCCCCCCCATAAAACCCCAAGAAACAGCACTGGTAGGAAAAAACAAACAAACAAACAAACAAACAAAAAAAAAAAAAACCAAAAAACTGCACTTGTAGATATTTATCCAACCCATCCAAACACAAACTTTTCCTTGAGATGGAGCTACAAGTGAGAAGTGGAGAAATGGGGACAAAGTGCTGTGTGGAAGAAATGGCCTTGTATTTTAGAAACAGCAGTTGTCCTCTAAAATGTCCAAGCTGGATTTACTAAAGATTAAAATCTGTTAGATCTGTTCACCATCAATGGCAGTTAAATAGAAGAAAATGTTGATCAGAAACAGACATGTTTTTCTGCTTATGGAAACTGAGTAGGTGATAGCAGAAGCTTTTGGCAAGGTACAAAACAGAAAAAAGGGGATTCCTGTCCTGTTCCATAAGGTGTTGCTGTGAGCTGCTTTCTCTTTTTTTTCTTATTTCAGGTGAAGAGGTGAACACTTCTTTATTCTTTATTATTTATTCTTTATTCTTTATTCTTTATTCTTTATTCTTTATTCTTTATTCTTTATTCTTTATTCTTATTCTTTATTCTTTATTCCCATGTGAAAGACTATTCTAAATGCACACTAAAACCAAACTACAGTTGGTTTGCTCTTAATTTTTTTTCCAGATCCAGGTGCTCACAGGAAATATTCAGCTGGCGGCCCTTGACAAAGGAGTTTATATGAGTAGTTTGACACTAAGAATTGGTTATAATCCATGCTAAAACTAGATTGAAACACAAATAAGGACATTTTTATATTTATCTTCGTACTAGTTTTCCATTTTTGAGAAACATCTCATAAATGCTCCTTACTGACTTTTATAGTATTTTGCTGAGCAGTTTTATCAGTTTCAATTCTACTTTTGTGGATTGTTGATTTCTTATCATCAATAGTTTGATGGCTGCATTTAAAAGGAGCTCTGTGCTTTTAGGGAGCTGAAAAGAATTCTGAAATTTATACAAATGGAGCCAAATCAAGGAGTTGTACGTAAGGCTTGCATTTGTATTTTGCTTTTCAGTCTAAAAGTTTAAATTTGTTAGTTATCATCTCTAGTGATTAGTCAGTACCTCAGCAAGCCTTTTGTCTCTGAAACATTTTATTAATAGGCTCATTTTTTGGCATTGCTTTGCTATTCTAGAAAAACTCTTTATCTTAAGAAATTTTAGTAGCAAATTGTACTTTAGTATTGCCCAATGTGTATTTTTATTTATTGACTCTTTGTTCATCCCTTTCTAGTAGCTTGCAGGTCATCTGTTCAGTAAATTTCATCATTATATTTGGAATTCCTTGGGTTTAGACATAAAAATATTCTGTGTAATTTTTGCAGCACCCTTAAGCCAGCTAGACTAAACTCAAACAATGTCTAGCTTTGTACACTGAATACAATTCCTCTCAAGATGAGAAAACTAAGTAATTTCCATTTTAATTAAAAAGAAAAATATTTTAATGCATCCCTGATCCTTGAGAAAGTGGTACTTCAGTAACTGAAGGTACCAGTGCATTTTGTATCTGTTACTGAAGGACTGGTCTCTACTACAGGACCAGAGATATCAAAACCTGTTGTAGGATTTCCAACCCTTAATTTAATTTAAATGTATATTTATTTCATTTGCTATACTGGAAATAACAGATCTGAACTGTAGTCTTGCATCTGCCTCAGCAGCACATTGACATAATACATATTGACCTATAATTTCTTTGCACTAATTTGTAGTAACACACCCAAGTTTCTTCTGAGTTTCTAGAATAAATCTTGTGCTTAGCCTACTACTAAGAAAACTTGTTCTCTATCTTCCCTCCCAGAATCAGTTACCGGGGAAGCTTTTGTGTCCCATGAAAAAATTGAAATTATTTCTCAGAGGAACACTTTACCTCCATGTCTTACCTTAAAAATTCAACTAATTCAGCAGTATATGGTGAGGTGGCTGAGTTGAGCTGAGCTTCAGGAATTCCAAGTAGTCACTTGTCGCTTTCTTTTAAAAGTTTTAAAGTTCTTTTAAAAGAACAGGGCGACAATCACTCTGTCTTTTTAATATCATTTTAGTCCTCTGTATTAGAAGGATTTTTCAGTCACATCTTCTTAGCTTCCTTTTTCCTAACCAAGTCACAATCTATAAATTCTCAGTAGTTGATCCAAGTCCAAGAAGTCTGTTGTTCCTTGTGAACACAGTGTGTTTGGTACAGATCTGCTGAAGAAATCCTCTCATGAATGTCCATGAAAATTTGTCCAATTATGACTTCTGGTTGCAGTGGCTGAAGGGAATGTGTTGCATCTTTTTGCTCTTCATCAATACTTCTCTTTTTTTTTTTTTTAATTTAGCTGTGAAATCCTTAATACAAAAATGATGTTTGCGTTTGCTAAAACCATTTTCTTTTCTTTATTTATTTCAGTTGACGTAGTTCCCTAAAAGCTGAGTTTCTCTGTTGTCCTTAAAACCAATTTGAAGATAAAATGGATCTTCTTAGAATTATTAAAAATTTAAAAAAAAAATAACATCTTGATTTTCAATTTATCTTTTGAGCTTTTGATTGGAAATGGGTCTGTGTGGTCTTTTGATTGGAAATGGGTCTGTGTGGTTTGGCCAAAATTCTTTGGTTATGTACTTCCATTTTGTTACCATGGTAAACTCTGATCTCTGAGTTGTGGTTCCTGATCAGATCTGAACATGCTTGGAAAGTCCCAGAGGAGAAAAAAACCCCCTCCCAAATCCCATGAATCGCAACAAAATTACTGCAGAATCATTCTTGCTTGCATATTCTTTTAAAATAAATATATCTGCATCTGAAGATGAGGGCTGTAATTGCAAGAGAGTATTGATTCTCTGACATGGTCCACATGTGAGCTCACAAGAAGTAGCACGGCTGGACCTCAGCACTCAAAAATGCAGAGTGTTTTAAAAACTTGGCAGTGACCAAAAGCGTTTATTAAATGGAAGTAATGGGTTTTGACATGAATCACAAAGGACAAATCACCCTGTAATGGGTCAAAATTTTCTTCATCTTCTGTGGATGAAAAATGTTGTCATGTAATTTGCTGTCATCTACAGTATTGTGGTAAATTCAGGCATTAGTAACTGAATACTTACAGTGATTTGCCTTGTCACCTCAGTGCTTCTCATTGCCACCCTTGCCCTTTGTCAGGGATTTAAGCTTCAAGCAGAATAATTGAAAATACAACTGGACAAAGCCTTGAGCCGAGCTCAGTGTTGGCCTTGCTCTGTGGAGGGGATGGATCTGATAAGCCTTAGAGATGGGACATGTGGAACTAAATTCTGTTTTCAGGAAGTACAGAGGAGCAGGCTGCTGATACTTTAATCTAAAGTGAGAAACAATTAGATGATTGTCAGAGTTTTGACAGAGGTGTGACTTTGACACTTCCAAGCTGGAAAGGCAAAGGTGAAAAGTATCTCTTCTGTAACCTGAATCACACAGGGTAGATCCAGATGAAATAGTCAATCTTCATTGTCTCTGTTTTTCATTACTCATTCTTCTAAATCAATGTACTTCTAGTTACTTTTGTCTTATATCCTGGTGCCTTAAACGAAGCAGGACCAGCTGGTCAGAAGAGGTGATTGTCATGCTGTGTCCAGTGCTGATGTGGCCTCATCCAGGGCACTGTGGGCAGTTCTGGGCCCTGCAATTTAGGAAGGATGAGAAGGTCCTTGAGTGTGTCCAGAGCAGGGCACCAAAGCTGGTGAAAGGGCTGGAATGAATGCCCTGAGAGGAGCTGCTGAGGGCTTTGGGCTTTGTCTGCTTTGGGGAAAAGGAGGCTGAGTATTGTAAATGCAGGCAAACCCAGTGGGAAGAAATGATGATGTCTGACTCAATTCAGAAGGCTGAATTATTTCTTTATTATAACTATGCTAAAATACATTAATATACTATATAAAAGGAGGATACTAAAACTACATACTACTTTCTCTGACTCTAACACAACTCGTGACCCTCTGCTCTGTGAAGAGAGCCCTACGTGGGTTGGATTGGCCATCAGGCTCAAACAGTCCTCACCAGAATCCAATCAAGCAATCACCCCAGGTAAACAATTCTCCAAATACATTCCACCTAGGAAAAACAAGGAGCAGAAATAGAAATTGTTTTCTCTTTCATTTCTCTCTCTGCACCTCTATGAAAAATCCTGAGAGGGAGAGAAATGTGCTTGCCACAGCTGAGGGGTGACCTCATTGCTGTCAGTGACCTCATCTACAGCTTCCTGAGGAAGGGAAGTGGAGAATGAGGTGCTCAGCTCTTCTCCTTGGGATCCAGTGATAGGACATGTGGGAATGGTCCAAAGCCACACTGCAGGAGGTTTATATGAGACATGAGGAAATGTTTCTTTGCCAAAAGGGTGGTCAAACACTGGAACGGGCTTCTTAGGTGGATGCTTGATGCCCTAGCCTTGTCAGTGTTTAAGAGTTAAGCACTTGTCAGTGTTACAATGGTCAGCCCTGAACTGGTCAGGCAGTTGGGTTGGATGGTTGTTGTAGAGTCTTTTCAATTGAAATAGTCTATTCATAGTCTATTCTATTTTATTCTATTTTGACACAGAGTTTCAGAGAAGTAAAAAAATCATTTATCTAATAGATATTAAAGCTGTGTGTTATTTCTGGTATTCTGTAACTCTCAAGAGCTTTCTTTCTTAAGTTACCTCTAGTACTGGAGACAAACAGTCAGAAAGAAAAATGGATCCCTTGTTTTGGCCATCAGAAACTAACAGATTTCGACGATTCACCCCTGAATCCTTGGCAGCAATTGAGGAAAGGATTGCCAACAAAAAAAAGAAGCAAGTCAAAGTTAAAGAGAAGAATAAGGAGCAAGGAGCTGAAGAAGATAAAATTACTCCTCAGCTGGACCTGAAAATTTTCAAAACGTTGCCATCTCTGTATGGGGACATTCCTGAAGAGCTGGTTGGGGAACCCCTGGAGGATTTTGATCCATACTACAGTGATCACAAGGTTAAAACTTCCCAAAGCTTTTTTTTTTAAATTTTTGCCTGCTGAGCTCTTAAGAGATAATAAAAGCTCTATTCAGGAGGTCCTGGGGTTTGATTGCTCTGTAGACAGAGCTTTGAACATTACTGACAACTTTTGGGGGGGAGGTCTAAGGTATGTTCTGCATTATGGAATTAAGAGGTATTTTAAGTTCCAGTCAAGAATCAAAATTAATTATGAAAACATATGTGATTGGTGCACTTTAATAGTAAATATATTCTGGGATTACTGATGCTTTGTTTTCCAGAGAGGTTTCTCTGATGCCTGTGGGGCTGAGCTCCCTGTTGTATAAACAGTGCCTGTCCAACAGTCAGTCACACTGGAATTGCAAATGCTTTCACTGAATTACAAATACTATACAAATTAAGGGAGGCACATCTGAGATATTTCCATTATTTTGTGTAGCAAGCCTATGTATTTTCATTGTCTTAATTTGCTGTAACTTTGTCTCACTGGCTTTGTTTATTGTTCCATATTTATATTGCACATACTTCATGTTATTCCAAAGTGGTTGGTGGTGCTGTCTATAACAGTGTATAAAGTAGATAGTCTAGGAATCCCTTCTAAATTAAATACTTCCATTAAATTACTGTCAAGAGTTGATCTGAAGAGCAGAAGGTTCCATCCAGTCCTAGCTGCTCTTTTAATGTATGCCAACAATGTATTGGAGTGTAATAATTTTATCAGAGAACATGCTTTAGACTTTGATCTCCCAGATACCTTTTTCTCAAAGTCATCAAAGTGATACTATTGATGAAGCAGAACTAAAGTTGATTGAGTTGAAGAAATTTATATTAAAGTTAGGAAACTGTGTTTTTCATTCAAGAGATTTCATTTTTACTATATGGAAAAAGTGCTGAGCTGCAAGGACCTTAAGGTAACATAGAGGGAATTTACAGTGTTATGTAACAATAGAGATATATTTCAAAATTAAAAATTTGCTTTGACTATCCAGGATTTTGGCAGTGCTACACAATTTGCACCTTGTAAATGATCTCTTGTAGCCTGTAATGCTAAGAGGTATTAAGACCATTGTTACAGTCCCAGAGTAGCAATTTAATTACTTTGACCAAATGAATATGATTACTTGCTCTTCATATTCATTCCCATTATGGCTTCTTCCTCTCAGGCAACGATGAAGTTTAATAGAGCTGCTGTTTTTCCTTCAAAATGTGTATAATCAGGTCACAGCTCCAAATAAAAATAAAGGAAATCTGTACTCCTAACTGCAGTTAGATATAGCTCTAGATGCAGACTTGAAAAACTGAACATGTATTTTTGCAGAAATTTTCAATTCATTCAAATGTTTTGTGTACTATGAATCCTTTTTTTTTTTATAGACTTTTATGGTGTTAAATAAAAGGAGGACTATTTTCCGGTTTAGTGCCACACCTGCCTTGTTTATATTTGATCCTTTTAATCCTGTCAGAAAAAAAGCAATTAAAATTCTGATCCATTCATATCCTTTCATTGTTTTCCCTGATGTGAATCTTAAAATATTCTGTGCCATTTTCTGTCATTCTGTTTCTGCTTTTTATGCTTTATTTAGAATTATTGATTAGTAGAAACAGGTCTTTTTAGGTGAATGTCTGAACATGTCAAACATGTTATGTTCCACTAGTGTCCTAAGTTCCAAAACCATCTCCACATGCTGATAATTAATTTTTATATTTAAAACATTAATTTTACCCAGCTGAGAAGATTTGGTCTTGATGGGGGATTCTTGGGTTGGTCCTGTGCAAGGATAGCATTGGATTTTGATGATCCATGTGGGTCCCTTCCAAGTCAGGATAATTTATGATTCTGTTATAAGTTTCCTTGGAAAACCCATGAAAAGTTCTGAGCATGTTCAAATGAAAAGTTATTGTTTGAATGCTTGCATGGTTTTGTGTGTGGAAATCAGCAACTTGCATGAGCTTCGTTTTGTATATTCTAGAGGTTTTTTCCTTGACTTACTATTCACAGTGTTTCTTGGCATTATTACATTTACTGTGTTACTCAATTGTATGGCTATGACTATCCCTCACCTTCTTGCAGAAGTCTACTGGACTGAGTAAGTACCTCACTGGCCATGTTCTTACTATTTTTCCAAGGATACTAACATGCAGGACTGAAAAATGTAAATAATGTGATGGTCTAATTCTGGAGCTTGAAAATTCTCAGCTAGACAGACCCCTGAGGAAGGCTGAGGATTGTTATTATATCAGCCAGTCTTTTGTGGAGATTCAGTGCCTTTTCTTAGGGGCTCTCACCATATGCCCTTTTTTCTGTTTTGCCTAATTTTGCCATCTGGTGTAACATAGGAGGTTGGCCTATTTTTCCTTTTGAGGATTAAATCATTCTGAGAGATTGTGCAGCAGGATTTTAACTTAATATCTCTCACTCTACAGCAATAACCTGAATGACTGTTGTAGTTGCCTCATACAAAAGCTATAAATGAATAAATATTCATTCTGTGCTTTCCTCTGTTTCCTGGTGACTCTCCTGAGTCAGTTGTTCCCACTAGGAAGATATTTATTTGTAATGTTTTGCTTCCTTTGGTACTTGTGCACTGTATCCAGTGTAACTTGAATTCATATTCCAGAATTAAATCTAGAAAATGTGCCTGGAGCCTCCGAAGTTCTATAATTTTAATTCCTTTTATTTGGGGTAAGCACAGTGATAACTAAATTTTCTATAGAATTTCTTTCAGTTATTTGTCAGAATAAATATATAAAATGTGCAAACTTTACAGGCTGAAATAAATCTTTGTTGTTATTGTTCTGTCAGAATAGTGAGGCTTTGAAATTTTCCAGCTTGCTTTAGAACATAAACACAGTCTTTAAAATGTTTTCCTAAGGAAATGTGAGCTGTCTTTCATCCAGAAATAGCATCATATGCTAATGTGAATGTTTGTGTTTGTAGATTTATATGGAAAATGTACTAAAATTCAGGAAGATATCTTGTCCCCATGGTGCTTCTGAATGTAATGCAACCTATCCCATTTTGCTTCACATTTTCTACCTTTATCTCCATGCAGGAACTAAATCAGGGAAAAGATAGAAATGTGCCTGAATGTGTATCAGTCTCATGGCTATTTTTATTTCTGTAACTTTAATATACACTTTCCTCCTCAGGCATGTTTTCACTTTTATATATACCATTGAAATATTGATTAAAGTAGTAGCAAGAGGATTTGTTTGGAGTGAATTTACTTTTCTTCGAGATCCATGGAACTGCTTGGATTTTTTTATCATTATTGTAATGTAAGTAAAATCAGTTTTTCTTTTACACTCAGGGGAAAAAAACACGCAGAAAATAACATTTGATGTTGCTGAAATTCCTTACAGTTGTTGGCATCCTCCCTGCTAAACTGTGCTTGAATCACATTTTGCATGTCTGCAATGAGAAAAACAAATTTTAAAGTAAGACCTAAATTAAAAGCTCATCATAGAACTGTGTGATTGTTCTCAATTTAGTCTATATTTGGATTTTGTGAAGAGGTAATTGCATAAACAGCCCAAACCAAACCTGCCTCTTTATGGTGTCTTAGCTGTACTCTGGGTCAGATGAAACTCATTTGAGAAGGGTCCAAAATGGGTCACAAGGTATTGAGTGACTTGGCGGCAAATAACTGATGAAATCCCAGTGTCAAATGATGCTCAAGGAAGAACACACTTTGCTTTACACACAAATTCCTGGGCTCTGGAATGGCCTCCACTTGTTGGGAACATGACGTTGGAGTTTAAACAGACGGTTTTGTAAAAGCTCCACTCCAGCACGCAGTCACAGTCAGAGAGGGAGGTAGAAAATGAAGGCATCATGGGTAAGAAGCAAAGAAGCAGAACACACATTATTTCTCTGTGTAGCCTCTATTTTAATTCAGGACTTTGTGTAGTTTTGCTCCACACATGTCAAAAGATGTCAGAATTAAAAAAGATGCAGTGAATATGTATATCTGTAATTCCACATACCAAAAAACTAAACAGAGTAAAACTCGCATGAAAAGACAATTGCAGAGCAGGAACAAAATTGAAGTGTATGGCAGAGACAAAAAGAGAACAAATAATATTTTTCTTCCTACAATGAGAGCTAAAGGCACCAAATGAAGCTGTCAGGTGGCAGAATAAAAAGGAAGAGAGTAGTTTGTAACATTATATGTAGGTTTTTTCCTCATTTGTAAATAATAGATTATATGTACGCAGGTGTCATCACACACATCTATATGTATATGAACAATTATTCTTATGGGCAATCATGAACTGCTAAGGAGCTTGAATATTGTTGATCAGCAGCATCTATCACTAGGTGGCTCCTGATAATTACAACTATCACAAGGCAGTCCAAGAGCTGAATGAAAAAATTAATTTATGGTCCTTTTTCCCTACCTGCACCCCAAAAATTATTTAGTGTTCAACTTTACAATATAACAACTCCACCTGTTTTTTCCATGTCTTATAGTACAATAATAATAATTAAAAAAAAAAAAACTATTTAGAAATTACTTAAACTTAACTGCTAAGTCAAGTGTAATTATTGCTTAGGGTACTTAATAACTACTCAGTCTTACAGACTAGACAAAGCCAATGTGCTCTGATCTGCTGCTGACAAAGTCATGCTTTGAGGGGAAAGTTGCCTTTTCAACCATTGTCTCGAATTTTGTTATTGAGACTTTACATTTAAGGAATTCTGTTACTAGTTATGACCTTGTCATAACTCAATGAGTCACAATTCATGTCCTTTCTGACATGAAAGAAGTCTTAAAAAACTTGGGGTAACCTGTTAACATGCTGTATAGAATATGCAATGCTTTAAAATACTGATTTGATGAAATTTTCTAATTGTTGAAATGTTAAAATTGAAACAAGTTGCAACACTCAAGTTCTCACTGACTGTTAAAGGTTAGAAAGACCCATGTGGTACAGAATAAACATGTTATAAATCTACTGTTGCTCAACTTCCTTCTCCTGAATTGTGTATTTTGTTCTGAGATAGCTGCAACGTGTACTTTCATGAGATAAGTCACACTGCAAGAGTGTGGTTATGACATTGGCAGTTTTATATTTATTTGACATTTTGATAGATAAACTCTTCCAAATTTAAAGCGTCCAAATCCACACTAAGTAGTAGCTTACTGTATTTCTTTTCAGAGGCACTGCTTTAAAGCTCCTTTACTTTATATCCATGCCTAGAAATGGACTTAGATTCCTAATTTTAGGCATGTATCTTAGGACATATTTGACTTGTTTATTTTTCACAGTGTATTCATTACTGCCTGCTCCATCAGCAAATGCTTTGAAAAGGTCCCTCTTTGTCATTCAGTTCAGTGTGGGTTAATTTTACAGGTACATTACTGCATTTCATAGTGTTGGCAATGTTTCAATTCTTCGAACTTTCAGAGTACTGAGGACTTTGAAAGCTATTTCAGTAATACCAGGTAAGGAACAGCACATCTTACTGATTATCTCTCTTCTTGACCAGAATTCTAATTCCACTCCTGTTCATGTCTTCTAGTTCTCTGACCACTTTTAGTGACCCCAAGGTGTGACTCTTTTGCATCCTCAGCAGCAACCTAACACAACTTTTTAAATCATCTTTCCTTCAAATGGTTTTGACAAAGGAAAATTTATATTCTGCTTTTTTTTTTTTTTATCCCATCACTGATGTACATTTTTATTTAGCCCAGTGCCTTTGTTTCTTTCATTTGTCTTCCTGGAGCAGCCCACTGTATGTAATATGTTTTCCTAACATAATAGATCTGAACCACCATGTTTCTGGTTTCATATTCTACCTCATTAGCTAAATCTTGTCTGGTTTATTTCCCAGAATGCTGATTTCACAAGTGGAGAGACTTTCATTTGTTTCCTTACTGACCACAGCCACTGTCTAGATTGTGTGTAATACTTTCAACAGTATGTTGCATATGCCATCCAGATATTCAATATTTCTGTAAGTTGTGTCCTTAATTAGGGTACCAAAGAATGGTTTCAGAATCCAACGGCAAAAATGCACTTGAAAATCTATGAATTACTATATATCTCATGGTCATATTATATATTAACTTTATCATTCCACGTAATTGCAAAATATAATTTGATTTTTTGATGAAATTATAGCATTAATGAAACATTGATGGTGTTTAATTTTAGTGTAAAAGCCACACATCAATACTTTTCCTTTGTCTTTAACTTGCAGCTGTCATGTCTTGTCATATAGGAGGATCACAGCATTCCTTTTCTCACTTTCTATGTTATTGGATCTTATTTTCCTAGGTCTAAAAGTCATTGTTAATTCACTTGTTGAGTCTGTTAAGAAGCTCTTGGATGTGCTGATCCTGACTGTATTTTGCTTGAGTGTATTTGCACTAATAGGCCTCCAGCTTTTTATTGGCAATTTACAAGCCAAATGTGTCCTCAATGTAACTCATTACGACGACTCATTATGTAAGGATCCCAAGATACATCTACCAAGTGATACAGGTAAATGTTTTTATTTTCTCCCTTTACATAACCTGTGTATATTCCTATGTATGTATTGATTTTTCACAGGCATATTAATATATAGTTGCATCTATTTCTTCCAGGAAGATTTGTCCTTCCGTTTTCACAAGTAGTAGTTTGAAGTCTCTGGGACAACTGAATATGAAATTAGTGAATCTTGGATTTGGAGAAAGATCAGCAGTCTGTGGGATAGAAGGGACTGAGTTTTCTATAAGCATTTTCTTCTTTATCTGTGCATTGCACAGGGATATTAATTTTAAGGGTACTGCACAGGGAATGATTTTTTCCATCACTTACTCAGTATTTCATGGATTTTGTCCACTTCTCATAGGGATTCTTAATTTCACCAAAGATCAAATAAAACCTTACATTGTTAGTTGTGCAGCAAATTGTAACTATTTATTTTAAATTGCCAGAGAGAGAGATCTGCTGAGAATCAGTTCTGTTGGGAAAGGATCTTTCACAGAGGTTTGATCCTTCTGAATGTTTATGATGTGCAGTAATGTTTGGTTTACTGTCAGAAAGTTGTAGAAACTGAGAACTTCTGATTTTATGATTCTTTGATTTTTTTTTTTCATTAGATCTCTGCTACAGATTGGAAGACTCTTCTGAAATATTGCTGTGTGGGTACAGTGCAGATCCCAGGTTAGTGAACAGAGCAGTTTTTGTACTTAATTTTTTCCTGCAGATGAACTATGGTTTTATTTTTTGGTCTAAAAGAATGGTGATGATTTTTCAGGAGGAAAAAATTCATCAGGGGGTGTGTTATTAAATTAAAAACCACATATTTCACAACAGAAAAGGAATGAAGTACAAAAATGCAGCCAATTTTATACGTATTTTGTTGCTAACCACTGGGAGTACAGTGGTAAGGTACAATGATGTAAATGAGAAGGAGAACTGATCACTAAAGACTTTTTAGATGTTGTCAAATTCTCCTCTCCTCATCTTGGTGAATTATTTAAAAGTAAAGATATTTCCATGTTTCTCCACTCTCTGTATTTGTTTGGACATATCTTACATCAGTGAGAGTTTTTGTCTCGTCCAAACTAAGGTTTCTGTCTAGTTTTCTTTACTAGACAAATGGTTTTCTGGGCTGGTCAGATATGAAACTGCCCTTCTGGCAGGATATTTTGGGGAATAAGGAAACCTCTTTACAGACAAACTGAACAAATCTTTATTTGTCACTGTGTATTAGCTGCTTTCAGATTCAATTGAATCTCCACATAAGTACTGTTTAACATTTCCTTTGTGGTTAGAAAGGGGTGTCCAGAAAACTACACCTGTGAGAAGATTGGGAACAATCCTGACTTTGGTTATACAAGTTTTGACCATTTTGGCTGGGCTTTCCTCTCTGTGTTCCGTCTGATGACCCAGGACTACTGGGAGCGTCTCTACAGACAAGTGGGTACTTTTTTTACCTGCTGGAATGACTTTAGATGTGCAATTCAGAGCTTTATGTCTACTAGAAAAGTCTGTATTGGTTTTAACATTACTGACAACAATTTTCTTCTGAAATCAATGTAAATATTAAAGCAGTAGAGTCAAGTGACTGAGCTGTAACACCTTCTGCAAATGATGTTGGGTGGGAGCAGCCCTGCTGCGAATGCTCATAGTTTTGTTGGAGAACATATTGGGGTCAGTGGTTAAGAGCTAAATAAGAGTTAAATATTTGTATGTAACCACCCAAGCATTGGGATATGGAGCAAATCCAGCCAGGGAGCTCCCTGCTGCTGCAGGGAATGTGAGGATTTGTCACATTCTGTTTGTCTTCCTTTTAAATGCTGAACATTTGGGTTCAACATACACACTTTCATTTTTGACAACACGGTATTAAAAAAAATGGAGACTTTTATGTTTTGATTCTGAGAATTGAATGTAATTCTCAATTCTGTGATTTTTTTTGAAAAAAAATGATGTAAAAATACCTGTAGAGAACTTCTTGGATCCTTCATGTCTATACAGTACCTTTGCCAGACAGGAACAATACTCTCTGCCTTGTTCTGTACCTTTCATATTGCTCCATTTTAAATCTCTTTTCAATCAGCCTTTATTACCTGTGACTTTTTAAAATGGATGCAATGTCTTTTGCCATTTGAGGGTCATGTTACTTTTAGTTTTTAATGTCTCAGAGTTAATTTTGAACTATCTCCTCTACCACCATTAAAAAAAGAATATCATAAGATGATCAGTCTAAATGTTGCCTATTATTCTGTAATTAAAACATCTTTCATGATTGTGTAGATAATCCTAGCTTTCATCTTTATTATTGAGTTTCATTAACTTCTTCCACAGTCACCTGTTTATGTCTTTGCAGATGAGGTTGTTTCTCAAAGCTTAAATGTTGAGGATCATTTGCCTGATTTGCTGGAAGATATTTGACTTAAATTTAAGAATGTGATTTGTTAATTCTTTTCTGCAGTATGTTTTATGCATTTTTATGTATAACTAAGACCAGAAGCAGATCCTACTGTTGTTAATTCAAAACACTGCAGTACATTAACCTTTTGTATTGCACAGGAAAATAAATTGTTTAAAGTTTCTTTTGAAACTGCTTTGTAAATGTTAGTTTGTTAAGAATTTATTACCACCTTTCCCTTTTCCTCATAGACCATCCGTACATCTGGAATGTCCTGCATCTTTTTTTTTATGGCAGTCATCTTCTTCTGCTCATTTTATCTCTTCAATCTGATCTTGGCTGTGGTAACTATGGCATATGAAGAGGAAAACAGAGCTACCCGTGCTGAGACAGAGGCAAAGGAAAAACTGCTTCAGGATGCCAGACAAGTTATAGAGAAGGAACAGGTTTGTAAATTATCATATATAATCTGTAGTTCCTTTTGTTTTCTTCTGTTTGTGAATTAGGGAAATAATGTTTTGAATTAAACATGGGCTTCTTACAATATTTTCTGACACTTCATTTCTCTTTATGTCTTTACAAATGCATATAAACATGTGTATATATATATATATATATATATATGTTTAAATACATAAACCTTCCTGTGATACAAAAACCCATGAATCCAAGTTAAAACTTACTAAGTTTTAGGATTTGCAGACCTAACATTGTACAGGAATGGCTTTCTGACAAGAAAATAACTTTCATGGTATTGCATGAGTGCTGCACTCCTTAGTTTGCCCTATTCTTGTACAATATCTTTATTACTGTGCCCAAAAATTCCTTTCTCTGGGTATCTCTTACTGATATTACTGCAGGAAGGAAGCATAAGTGGATACATTTTATCTTCTCCCTTAAATAAAAGATATCTCTGATTTACTGCTAGCAGTCAGAAAAGTCAGACTTGTAAGAAGACAAAGAAATATTCTATAGTAACTATCAAATTTCATCATTGAAGTGTTAGGCATCACCATTTTATCAAGTTCCTCCTCTACAGTTGTTGACAGCTCTGTAATATTTCTGTGCTTGGCATTCCACCTGGCCAGGTTTTGCTTAGGCTTTTCTTCCTTCTGTTTTTCTTTCTTCTTCTTTCTATTTTTCTTTCAACAGGATTAGGATTTAGGAAAATTTAACATTTTAGCATTTTTTTTTTTGAGCCCTTAGTCTTCTGCTGTCTTGGACTCAAGGCATTTTTCAAATCAAGAAAAGCAAAATGAAAGCATAAGCCATAATACTTTGTAAATCAGATACAAAATATGATATTTAAAGTGACAAAGGCAGACTTTATTTAGAGTAGCTCACAGGTAACCCAGCTTGGTCTTTCAGAATTGTGAATAGCATTTTGTACTCCTGTCTTTTGATGGAAGTCTAACATTTGAAACCTAGGAATTGTCAGTGCAAATAATTCAGATAGATAATAATTGCAGGTATATGATCCTAGTCCATTCTTCTAGAATTAACAGACAGATGTTTTGCTTTTCCTGTAACAGATGTTGGCTATGGAAGAAAGCAGTAAGGCCTTGCATGCTGGGCCTGAAATGTCAGTTGCTGACTTGAAAAATTCAGAAGGAAAAGAGAGTAATAAAGGAACACCTACTTCAAGGCAAAGCTTAATTTCAGATAGCCAGGAAAAGGAGGAGCAAATATTTCGTTCTCAGCCTGATCGCTGCCACAAGAAGCTTGTGAGTATTTGAAATAGAAAATGCATTCATTAGATTTGCATATGATATGACAATTCAAGGATGAGATTTTGGGACCAGAGGGAGTCAGCATTAGCTGCGCCTGAAGGGGAAGTTGGAAGTGGCTGTCAGTGGTACACTTATGGCACATCATAGACCTGTGCTCTGAGAGCTGTGGTAAGATCTGTCAGCATCTCTGTTTTTACTACAGAAATAAATGTATAAAATTCTTAAGGTTTTAGAGTTTCCTTAAAGGCCTAATTATTTTTTTAAATTTTTATTTTTTAAATTATTATTCTTTTCTACAGACAGCTCATTCTCTGACCTAAATACTTAGGATAGAGTTTAGTTCCATGCCATATGAAGAGTTCTGACCTTAGGGGTGTGATTCTCTTGCTCACTTTAAGCATCTGGTGCCAGTTTAGATGCTCTTGCATGTGGTGGATGTTCTAGAGATCTTTGATATCTGTGGCACATCTTCCAGCACTTTGTGGATATCTCATAAACCCTGCAGCATCTCAAATGTTGCTAAATTCCTATATTTAGGCAACTAGATTGTGTCCAGGGTTTGAATTTTTGGGGGTTTTAAGGTTTCTACATGTGTTTTAGGTTCTAAACTCATAGAGTCAAGTGGAGATTTAATTTTTCAGGTCACAAATTGATGTCTAGTGACATTTGAGCTTTTCTAGTGTCTTACTTGGCTTTCACCTCCTCTCTGGAAGGACACAGTGTGCCATGTCTGCTACTGTGGATGTCTCAACTACCAAATATCTCAATAGTCCATCTCAAATGGTTTCAGAAACATTTATTTATATGAATCAAACTTACAAGAAACATATGTATCCCATTTACTGGGATTTTAAGTGAATTGCACACATGGATAAATTAAAGAAGGATATCTAAAATATTAGGCTGAATCTCACACATATTGTTCCTCATCTTTATAGCAGTGATTTTTGGCTCCTCTGCTGACCACTCATTTTTAAGTCCATTAAGAAACTTCTATTAAGACTCATTATTCTTTCTTTGTTTATTTTTTGAGATGTTTTTCCATAGTACCTTTGCTGCTGACAAAATGCTGTATCTTCTAGAAGACCATCCCAACTTTAATCTTTCTCTGGCTCTTTGTCAACATCTTCACTTAGATACTTATATTTAGATATTTTAATCTTGAGCTGAAACTTTCAATATAATTCTCAGGCAATTATCCATATTACTTAATTATTTTCAACAATATCTAAAAAAAAAGCTTCTAATGCCCTTATACTGGTTTCATCCTGTGATAGATTCTCTTTTGCTTCTGAGAGAACATCAGAATTGTTCCACCCATCTCACTGAAAATGAAAATTTTCCCATAGCAGAGCTAAGAGAAATAATGTTCCAACTCCCTTGTGTTTGAAAAATATCCTTGAAGGGGAGTCTTTCTCAGACATATAATCCTAGCTAAATAATCCTAGCTAAAATTGATTATATTCTCATTCTGACAGTCATCATGGTCAGAATTTCTTCTAAATTCCATAATCCTAGCTATAATAAATTCAGTATTTGAGCTGAAGGAATCCAAATCACCCACTTGGTGGCCACCTGTCATCTACTTGAGTAAAGCATTTGCTTCTTGTAGTGTCTTTAATGTTTCCCCTGCTGTGTTAAGAATATAATTCAATTTTGTGACCTAGTTTGGTTCTGCTGCACTTAAAGGAAGTGCTGTGCCACAGCCCATGGTAGTGTTTTATTGTACCTATTCAGAAAAAAAATATATTTTCATAATAGGTGTCATATCTTCTGTATATAAATAATTTTTTATGGCTGATTATTCCTATTTAACTTCATTCTTCTAAGTCTGTGACTGTTTTGCAGGAGATGTCTGAGTCAGGAGATAAATTTGGATTATTTGCTAGACCTTACTTCTGCAAGGCTACAAAGTCTGCACTGGTGGATGCCAAATGTAATCTGGATTTTTATATCTCAGAAATAACATCTTCAGACCTTTCCAAGGTCCCTTCCCCTCTCTGTGTCCAGCGAATGACAAAGTTCTGAAGATCTCTAGGAAAACCTAAAGCAAGATCCAAGCAGTGTGAGCTGCTCCAATGCAGATTTTTACCTTTAGTCAAATAAGAATAATCTACAACAAAGGTGGCAGTTTATTTCATGTTGTGACAACTACTGGTCATACAAGCTCTGCTGCAGCTGAGGACTCCTCAGACAATGTCCTCTCTACTTTCATCATAAAAAGAGGCTGAAGCATATTGGGTAGAAGATTTTTGGTAGGACAGAATGAGTTTATAAACATTATTTCTCTAGTGCACCATCCCTATTTTAAATCCCAGTTTGTCAGAGGACTTCTCATGCCCAGTTATTTCCTTCAGCTAAAGATCAATGAACAGCAGTAACCAGTTCAGTGTGGGTAAATGTCCTTGTCCTTTCCAAAAACACAACTCTGGGGGTTCCTTAACACCTGTGAATTTCAACAAGAAGGCTGAGAACTTCAGTCAGGCTGGCACACAAATTATTCTGGGTTTCTGTTTTCTGAGACACCAAATCTTAGAGAAAGGAATGAAGGGTGACTTTCACTGGCCATGATTAGAAGAGTCTTTGGAGCCTTTTGGATTCAGAAAAAATAAAAAAAACAAAAAACAAACAAACAAACAAACAAAAAAAACCAGAGGGGAAAATGAGCATTTTAGAACTGTATTATAAATTCATTTTATAGGTCTGTTCTCTGACAGCTCTATCAGCTGAGTTTTGCTTAGATTTTCATTAAAATATCAATGACAAAGATAAATAATTATTATTAAATCTTTAAGGCCAAGGATATCAGTTTCATTCCCTGAATAACAGTTTTACAAAATATGCTAATAAAACTCATACTATCATAAGAGTTTGAGGTAACATTATGATATATTTTTATTCATTTATCCTTCTCAAAAAAAAGGAAATTATGCAAATCCAGTTGTGCTGAGAGGCAATACTGAAGTACAGTGCATTGTGATGTGGTCAGTCTGACCATTGCCAGTCTCTCAGGATCCTTGTCATCTGGTAGTTCTAATTAAAACAAAAGTCCCAATCCTGGTTTTAGGCAGTTCAATATTAGTTGGATCTTGATAGGCTTAATAGGGCTAAAAATCCCAATAATTTGTATTAACTATGTGACTATTTTTTCATTAACTATTGTTATTGTTATTGTTATTTATTGATACATTATTATTTATTGATAATCAGTAGTTCATAGTTAAATAGCCAATAGTTTATTCAAACTGATGGTCAGTGTTGTTTTTGTATGTTGTTTCTATCATTCACTGGAAAGACAGATTGATTATTTTCCCTTGCCCCCTGTTAATGTTTTTATACTTCTTTTTTAAAGGAATTATAACTGCTAATTAAATATCCTCAGAAAGAAAAAAATTATTGAAATATTATACTGATTTTGACAAAATGTCCTTTGCTTTCAAACACCTGATATTTTTATATTTTTATAATTTTTTAATGTTTTTCCAGCAAGTAAAAGCTTCACTATAATGTATATTTCAAAAGTCATATTTATCTCATGCTGGATATAATTTTTATACTGCAAGTATTGTAATATTTTATTGTAATTTTTATATCTTCTTCTTATCTTGTTATATTGTCTTCTGTTGTCTTCCTAACCAAAGAGGCAGATCCTGCTGTCCTATGAGGTCTCAGTGGATGCTATCAATGATCCTGTCCGAAGGCAGAGGTTAATGAGTGCAGCCACAATTCTTACAGATAATTCAAGTAAGTCATTCTTTCCTCTTTTTCCTGTGGTGATTGTGTAACCTCAGAGATCAAACTATCACAAACACCATTATTTTAAAAGCAACTAGGGGAAATTATGCTGCCAAATGTGAATTTCAGTAAGAGAAATATTCTCATAGCTCATGTAACTCACAATTACTAAGGGTAAATTTTGCCTGACCTTTATAAGTTTCTGATTAGTTAGTGCAGAATGAGCTAAACAATTTTTTGCAATGGTGCCATTTTGCTCGTGTCAGATTGACTTTTCAATCTTTTCATTGAAAAATTGTCTTTTTCTTCATTCTGTGATATTCTACAAAGGATTATTCATATGTCACTTTCCCTCTTTGTCTGACAGAATCAAAACTAAACTGTCCTACATTTTGGAAAAATTTCCCTCAAAAGTATCTAATTTGGAATTGTTGTCCATTCTGGAGAGCAGTCAAAAAGAAGATGAAATTGGTAATTTTGAATCCATTTGTTGATCTCTTAATCATGGTTTGCATTATCTTGAATACCTTGTTCCTGGCTATGGAGTACCCTGGCATGCAACCACATTACCAAGAACTGATTTCTCTAAGTGACAAGGTAAGTTAAGTCTGTCTTAGAGTGAAAATGGAGTTATAACCCTGTATTTATACTTGGACACTCCCATAAGGAGACAGACTTTTCCTGTGACTTGTTTTTTCTGAATTTCATTTTTTGTCTTTCCAGGTCTTCACCCTGATTTTTACTGTAGAAATGATCTTGAAAATCATTGCTCTAGATCCTTACTACTATTTCCAGGACAAGTGGAATGTTTTTGATAGTGTGGTAGTTTTGATTGGCCTAGCGAGCTTTGGAACAAATCTGTCTCCTTTCAGGCTGGTAATTATCTATTTTAATTTTTTTTTTTTTAAAAGTACATATGTAGTACAGTGAAATACCCTCATATGATTTTACTGATGAATATGTTAAATCTGTTTTCTTTATTTGTAAGTAGCAAGACAACCTGAGCTCTTAATTGGAGTGATTTTAATTTTATCAAAACAATTAAAAGACTTTCTTGGGGAAAAAAAAATAGTGATAATACTGCATAAAGGCATTATGGTAAGTGTGGGGTCTTTCTTTCTTGTGTGCTGTGCTCTTTAGGCTGTTTTAACTTTTTCTTTCCTTGTGTTTCATTACAGCTCAGGATCTTCAAATTGGCAAAGTCCTGGCCAGCCTTAAATACTCTTATGAAAATAATTCTACACTCATTTGGTGCACTGAGTAACCTCACTCTGGTTTTGGCGATCACTATATTTATTTTTGCTGTAGTAGGAATGCAGATTTTGGGCAATGATTATCACTTAAACTCTGAAAAAATAAACCCCCATGGCGAATTACGCTGGCATATGATAGATTTTAGTCATTCAATCCTCATTATATTCCGAATATTATGTGGAGAATGGATTGAAACTATGTGGGAATGCATGGAAGTGGCTGGAAAAAGGAAATGTCTCATCATTTTCTTGCTTGTCCTGGTGTTAGGAAATCTGGTGGTGAGTTTCAAGTCAATTTTCAGTCCCTACTGAATGCATCCAGTTACTTTTTTCGTTGGAGGAAAAACCTTACTGTTTGAAAAGTATTCACTTTATTCTCTTTTCTGGGTGTCACTTGAAATATGGTTTTGTTCTGTCTCCTTTTTTTCCCTTTTCCCTTTTCTTTCTCTTTTTCACACAAGACATAGAAGCAAAATAAATTTATTCCTTCTAGCCAGGAAAGTTTAGAAGTGCAGAGCATATCATAATTTGGTGTCAGATGTCTTCATCTTTTGTGTTGGTGGGACCAAATAACCAAAGTGTTGAGTGCCTTTAATGCTTGACATGTTGCCCCTATGTAATCAAAATTTACAGAACCCAGATTTTTATTCTAGATCTAATGTAAATTTACTGGCAGATGAAATCTTTTTCATCTGCTTGGTTTATTGGTCTATACCAGATCATTTTTGATGGTGGTGTAATTAAAATTCATCTTTGCATGCTGTTTTTCCACATGTCTGCCTCCTTATACACTATGGACTTCAAAGCATGTGAAAATATATTTTATATACCCAAACTCTCACTTCCCTCTTTTTTTTTCTCCTGCCAGTCCTTCCAGAAGGAGCCGTATCATGCTATAACAATATTCCAGTGTATTAGTAAATAATTTTATTATGTATTAGTGGTTAATGAAAGTGAGTTTGAGGGTCTCTGAAGTGTCTCTTCTGTTAGCAATAGTGTCTCCAACTTACTTTATTTTAAGGTGCTCAACCTGTTCATTGCTTTGCTGCTGAGTTCATTCAACCTTGATGGCACAGAGGGACAAGAGGAGCCTGGAGAAGGGTCTAAATACCAGATTGCCATTGCACAGATTCACAAGAGCCTGAAGGCTGTGAAAGACAGAATTTGGGATCACTGCTGCAAAAGAATGAGGGGAAGCCTCAGAAGAACAGATAAAAAGAAGACTTTGGCAGAAGTTTCTGGGAAGGGCATAGAGGTTACTAATTATGCCATGACAGATGTCAGGAAATACATAGACAAGGGCTCCTTTGATGTAGAGCATTGCCATATGGATGAGAGTTCCTCACTGGCAAGGAAATATGAAGAAATTTTGACCAGCCACAGTACCTGTGTTCCCATTGCAGCTGCAGAGGCTTACACCAACGAAGGTGATGATGGGCACGTTTTGCACACTGCTGCAGAATGCAGGAAACAGGTAAGGAATATTGATCTTTGAAAAATGATTGTATCTTGCATCTGTAAATACAATCTCAAAGACTCATCAGTAAATATTATCCTTCCTTGTCATTTCTGCAATTTTACTTTCTTAGTTCTTCTAGAACAAGGGATATCAAATAGTCTTGGTTATTTAATGATATGTTGAATATTTACTTTTTCATCCTCTTCAATGACAGACAAAATTCTGCTTCTGACTGTTTTGTTTCCATTTATTACGGGCAATTGATAAACAAAGTTCATTCTAGACAGACATTCTTTCTTTTTGTCTTCTTTGCCTTACACCTGAATTTTTTGGAAGGCAGGCCTCTCATGTTGATTATATGTTGCTCCTCAGTTTCATGGAATCCAAAGGGAATGTAAACAAAAGCTATATTTTAAAAAAGAAATTCTTTTTTCTTTTATTGTTTGGGGGTTTTTAATCACCTCCATGGTACTTTTGACTCCCCTTCATATCTCTTGATTTTGTTGTGTTGGACAGGATACAGCTCAAATCTTTCTGCATGTGTGTGAGACATTTTTACTGCCATGACATCTGTACAGAGGCATTTAGGAATATTGGAGATATTTCAGGTGTCTGTCACATCCACACAGGATTGTCAAATATGGCACAGGAGCTATAGGAACTGTTTTCACAGAATCACAGAATTGTTGGGATCGGAGGGAACTTTTTTTGGATGGACGAACACATGGTCAGTGGCTAGGTGGTCTGCCAGGATCCATTTTGTATGGTTTTGGTCATATTAGGAAGCATTATCAGTGCAGTCTCTTTGGACAAATTCTCAAAGAATTAAAAATTGTTGATCACTTTAGGGTCTTCTGTGGCTGTTTCAAATGTCTTGCCCATAAGCTTTTGATGTCAGAAATTCATTCCCTGCTGCAGTGGAGTCTGGTATTTCTTGGAATTTGTAGTGTCAGAAGGGCTGAGGACTGATTCTGATCACTTAGATCTTCTGCCTATAACTGGAAGCATAAATCTTTTACAAGCATTTTAGGAAAACTATTTAATTATTTGTAAAAAGAAAAACTTGCTAGTGAAAGATTCTCCTCTCATGGCAGAGGGGTTGAACCTACATGATCTTTAAGGCCCCTTCCAAACCAAACACCCAAATCATTCTGTGATTATATGAGTCTAAACTTCATGGAAGTTTTGCATTCTGGTAAATAATTTTGCCTTTCAAGAATGACTGTCAGGAAAAAAATATGTGGAAAATCAACTGATTTGCATCATTTCATGCAGGGAGACAAATTAAAAAACAGAGAACAGTGGCAGAATTCAAACAACTTCAATCAGAGTTCTGGGACTTCTGAAGCTGCAAATGTTTTCACAGTAACACACCCAAAGAAAGATCAAAAAGAGGTAATTATAACTTATAATTTTGTGGAATATGCTGGGCCTTCCTCTCTTCAAGCATTTTGAGACATGATTTGTATGTCTAAAAATTGATTGGCCTGAAGAAATCAGAATTTTCTCTAAAACTGTAGCATATATAATATTTTCTAAACATTTCCTTCCCTTCAAGTCCACTCTAGATAATGAAAAGAAGCAAAGAAATTGGTTAAAATAAAGTGATGGAAACAAAAAGTAGGGATTGGCTATTTCTGTCCAATTATTTAAAATTTATTTTCGTAGTTCAGCAACATGAAGATAATTTACACACTGCAAATTTCTTTTGGGGAGGGAGAGGAGATGATAATTTTCATTTCTTTTAGGTTTGTTAACTGTTTTAATGAAAAGCAAATAAATTCTTTTCTTACTCCTTCTCCTCTGCAGAAATATCATTCTGTTCGTAGCTTTTCTGAAGCCAGCACTGTGGATCCAGTTGTTCTTCTGGAAATGTTTTCCCAGACTAAAAACTCACAGCTGCCTAAGGACTGCTTTCTAGAAGGTAGGAATCCTTTTTTTTTTTTTTTGGTATTGCACGAATGCCAAATGAACCAGTGTTCAAAAAAATCAATTTGGAGCATGTCCAGATTAGCAGGAACTGTTTGTCTGCTCATCCTAGTGTGGATATCTGCCTTTGATCACCTGAACTTCTCCTCAGACTCTGTTGGTTCAATCCTGCTGCCTTTACAGATTAATGAAGAGTGCTTCTGGCACAGGGCAGGGAAGAGAGTCCAGATGTAATGTCCCTGCAGTGCAATATAATGAAATAATTAGTAAAAATAATAATTTACTGACATGCTAGTAAGGTATTTTTATTTTCAAAATAAAAATGTGGAAAAATGCAGAAAATAAACACATTTTTGAGATAGAAGTAAAGGCTTCTTTTGTGCCCACAAACCATTCTGCAGAAGGACACAAAAAGATGTCTGATATTCCATGTATGTGTTGCTTTATTAAAAGAGATTATTTTGGCATAAAAATTTTTACTTTTCTTTAGCTTCAGATCAGCATCACCTTATTGATAAAAGAGTACATTCTTCCTATAATATTTAAAAGGCCTTTTTTAGGTGTTTTATATTTTTAAAATCAATTTTTTAGCATTTTCCATTGAATCAATATGCCGTTCTCTATCTTTTCAGGTTGTGTTGAGTGTTTCCCATGCTGTGTAGTGGATATCACAAAATTTCCAGGCAAAACTTGGTGGAACTTTAGAAAAACCTGCTACAGAATTGTGAACCATAGCGGGTTTGAATATTTTATGGTTTTTATGATTGTATTGAGCAGTGCAGCACTGGTAAATTTAATTTAATTTAATTTCTCCACATTTGAATTAATTGTTGTCAGTACAGGAATAGTATTGAATTGATTTCTTCTGCTATGACATTCCTTTGCCCAGGGAGAGACAGGAGTGTAATAAATATAACCTTTAGAAGCCATAATGCTTTCTTTCACTTGGATAAGATATTTAAATAGATAGATTTATATATATGGAATCATAGTTTTTCATTGAACATAGTTCTTTACACTTTTGTGTTAATTAAAAGCTAAACCAGAGTGTGATTTTGCTTGGGAAAGCTTGAAAAAAATAATAGCACTTCTAAATTTCTAAAGCAAACTAGCTACTCAGTAAAAATGTAGATTGAAAATCATCCAAACATTATGATCAGAAACTAGAAGTGAAGATGGCTGTAAATTGGTAGGTGAGGTCATGCATTGCTAGTCTGATCATATCCATTTCTACTGAAGAGCAAGGAAAGAATTATTTATTTATTTGAAAGTATATTCACTGTCTACTGAGAGTAACTTGCTAAATAAAATATTATCTAATGCAGAAGGAACATAACCTGATAGTTTGAAGATGATCTACATGGTAGATATCAGATTTTCCAACAAAAGTCACTAAATTACATTCAGGGTGTTCCCTGAACAGTAGATTTGAACCCTCTGCTTTAAAATTCTCCTGACAAAACCTCCAGGGGAATTTCCTCACCTCCAGTGAGGGCTTCTCTGTGTTCATGGGGAACCAAACTGAAGTAAGGAAGGAAACTGAGTCATTTTTAATGTCCTGTTGAACAAAAAGTTAGTTGGTACCCAGGTGCAAAATAACAATAACAATTTCTTGCCATAAAAGATAATTTGCAGTGTTGAGAACTTTCCCATTTCTTGTCCTCTTGCAGAAAGGGACTTGTCTATTTTTTTCCTTATTTATAAAATCTACTGATATGAAATGTTCTGAATAAGTATGAATAGCACCAGACCATCACACATGTCCATGGTTTGTAGTGAAATTAAATGAGATGGTGATCACAGAAAGAATACTCAGAAAAGTAGGGGAGAAGTGGATGAAAGGAAAATTGCAGACATTGCCAAAGGCTCAGTGAGGAAATAATGCAAGGTGTTAAAAGGAATTTGGAATAAATTGGCAATAAAAAAAAAAAAAAAAAAAATAAAAAAGGCAGCAAAAAATAAAAAAAAAAAAAAACACTGATGTGAATTACAACAATCAGTGAAATANAAGGTGTTAAAAGGAATTTGGAATAAATTGGCAAAAAAAAAAAAAAAAAAAAAAATTAGCAAGGCAGCAAATACTTTAAACATGAGCAAACACTGATGTGAATTACAACAATCAGTGAAATATTTTCCTAAAACCTCATTGTCAAGGTTTAGGTGAAAAAAACTTCAAGAATGAGAGTTCCAGATAAGATATTTGTCACATTTTTCCATGTCTGTATTGCAACTCTGCAGATGACTCATTTGGAAGGTCAGAATCTGACAGACACTGGTTAATGTATTCAATTCATGCTTTTTTGTGCAAGCATTTTAGATCAACCCCTTCAAAATTGTCAACTACCTTGGGAAGCCAAAATTTTTTAGCCCTCATCAGACATTTTTTGAAGTGTTGAACATAAAAACTTCAAAGTATGAGATTTTTCAATCAATGTGAAAATAAGATTGTACTTATGTTAAAATTTACCTTTTTACTTTTAAGTATAAAAATAAGTGGTGGTTGTCCATTATTTAATATTAAATGGTTATAATAAATCAAACTATTTATTCTTGTGCAATTAAAAAATAATCTCCCATAATCTATTGACCTGTTTTAAAACTGAATTCTGAAATTCCAGGCATTTGAAGATGTTCACCTGCAGAAGAGGGAAAAAGTGAAAATTATACTAGATTATGCTGATATCATATTTACCTACACCTTTTTTATGGAGATGATTCTGAAATGGGTAGCTTTTGGTTTGCACAGTTATTTCACAAATTCTTGGTGTTTGCTTGACTTCATCATTGTGTGTGTAAGTATTATACTCAGCTTGTCATACATTTAAATTTTTGATGTTTTGTATATAGAGAACTACCCGTAAATTGTGATTATGAATTAATACAAGTCGTAAAGACAGTTTCCAAAGGCTAAAAAACCTTCAATGCAAAAGAGGCTTTAGGACTTTAAATGGAAATTTTCAGCAATAATCAAGAAGTTGCTGAAGGAAATTTCATTAGGTATCACAATCATTGAGGACCATGATGGTTCTAAAGACCTTTCCAATTGTAGAGAGAGAGTTCAATTAGTGATTGGAAATAAAATTAAAATAAATTGATTAAGACAATAGAAAGTGTGAAGTTACTGACAGCTCTGGAGTAGATGATTTTAAAGGTTCCTTCCAACCCAAGTCAAATCTGTGATTTTGGCAGTTAGAAAAAAAGAGTTCCTTCCTTGAAGGAGAAGAAATTTAAATGGCAAAGACAGCTGAAAAGCATGGTTGGAAAAGTAATTTACCAGGGAGTTAAAGATAGGGAGGTATCTTTTGCTTTGCACAGCCCCAGAGAGAAATGCTGGAATCACCAAGAGTGACATAAGGGCAGTGTTCAATACATATACATTTGCTCTGAATGTAGAAAATGTTAAATATTATAATCTTGCTGTATAAAAATGAAACATTTTTCTTGTCAACATCACACTGGGACTGTTCTAAAGTTAAATATTTTTAAGTAAGGATGTCTAAACTGCTGACTTGTGACATCAGATTAGCTTTTGATAGACTCAGGATAGTCAGCATTGAAAGTTGTGAAGTACTCGGAAATTTCAACTGAAAAATCTAATATTATGACTATTTGTAAAGAATACCTGAGCAGCTACAGTTTTCTAATGTAAGTAGCAGTCCAAAACAGAGGATAAACATGGAAATATCCAATGGCTGAACACTGAGGTAGCAAATTCATATGAGAAGGAAGAGACAAATCATGAACAGTGAAAAAACCTAATTATTGAAATTATTTTTAATGCCTTCATTTCTCTTAGAAATATCTAAAAAGAACCAGATATATTTAAAAAAAAATTTGTTTCCACATCCCCATCCTCAGTTATGATAATAAATTTCTGTGTACACTTTTAAGAATAACTATGTAGCAAATGGGAGTATTATATCTGAATAAACCTTTCTAGTCTGGTAGTGTATGGAAGTATCATAGTTACCAATTTGATTGTTATCCTAGTACTAAATAAAATTATATTAACTGTTTTAAAAAGAAATCAAATTAGAATTAATTCCATTTTCTTTTCATGTGTTAGGAAAGAATGAAGTAAAATTATATTGTGGTAACTTTAAATATGTATTTTCTTCGTTTGACTTAATGGTGAAATAAACTGTAACATTCATCTCAGGATTGTCTACTAATATAGATAAAATAAAATTTTGTATGCCATTTAATGATCCCAGTTCCAATTCAATGAACACAGCTTTCCTTTGTTTCCTGGGGACGAAATTCTGTTTCTGGAAATTCCACAACTTGTTCCTCTGGGACCAGTCTGAAATCTCTCAGGACTTTTAGGGCACTGCGGCCTCTACGAGCTTTGTCAAGATTTGAAGGGATAAAGGTAAAGATATGGGGGAGGGGTCTGGGTTTTTATATGGGTTAGAATTTTCAATAGATACAGAAGTAAAAATCAGTGGTTTTCGGGGAAAAGTGATCTACTGAATGCAAATAATGAATTATTTTCAATCATTTCATTCAGGTTGTTGTGAATGCACTCTTTGGAGCCATCCCCTCCATCTTCAATGTTCTGCTCGTCTGCGTTTTCTTTTGGCTCCTTTTTAATGTTCTAGGAGTAAAATGGCTTGGAAGCAGATTTTGGAAGTGCACACTCAAAAAGGAATGTACTGATTCCATTTCTGGCAAAACAGATTGTATCGCCAAAAATGGGACATGGACAAATAGTGTTGTAAATTTTGACAATGTTGGCATGGGATACTTGGCTCTTCTCCAAGTGGTAAGTTCTATAAAGACATGCTCATTTTTGTTTTCCTCAAGGAACGGTTTGAGCAGCCCAACCAAGGCACACCACTATGGTTCTGTTTATCCCACTGGAATTGGGGATTTTGTTTTGGCTCCTATTAATATTCTCCTCATCTATGAGCTGCCCACCTTCTCTTAAAGAACACTCGGGCTCATGCAGTCTTTTGTTAAAATCAAGAACTCTTTCACAGCTTTTCAATCTTGTTTTAAATTTCACTTCTGTTTTAATTTTAATCGACAAACTAAGCCTGAAATAGTCTGCCTGTCACTGTATTTAAAGTTATTCTTGTTTTCTCTAGTTCAGAGTGGATAAGAAAAGAACTTATGGACCAATTTATTTAGAATTCTATGTCTTCTGTTGTAAAAGTCCTGAAGTGTCAGGATGCTAATTCACTGAGCTCACTAATACCACAACAAAGGAGAGAAAGTAATTTTTAAAAAGTCTCTATTATCCCTGTATATTTTCTAGATGAAGTTCTTTGCTCTGGATCCTCCAAAATGTTCTATGATTGATAAAAATTGAAGGATGGAACAGTCTGCTGTTCTGTTAGAAGTTGTTTTTTTCCTTTTAAGTTATATTTGCTAGTTAAGTTGTATTTGCTGAAACGTCTAGTATTCTTTTGTTTTTACAAAAATTTCAATTTAACAAGAGTTAGCATTAAAGCATTTGAAATGAATAATAACTTTTGTTTTCTTTTCAGTATTTTTTTTTCTCTCTAATAAATTCCAGGGGATCATACTTCCAAGGATATCTTAGAATTGATGCGTATTTTTTACAGCACACTTCTTATTTTTTTCCACAACTATTAACACATTTATATTATCAATAGCTATTTTTTCTCTCAGTTATAATAAACAATGCATTTTCTTTCAGGCAACTTTTAAAGGTTGGATGGATATTATGTATGCAGCAGTGGATTCACGTGAGGTATGTCACTGAAATGAAACTTTAGTTCTTTTCCCCTTCCTTCTTCCCTTTTCTATCCATACAGTCAATTTTTCTGCTTTGTTTGCAACATCAGGTCAAAAATACAAGTGATTGAATGCATCCAGCTACACAGTGAAACAATAATCCTTGGAGTACCAAATATCTGAAACTTAGATAAAATAAACTGGTCACAATAGAGGGATACCACACAAAAAGAGGGCAAGATAATATACAATTTTGTACAAATCTGATTTGGAAGCAGAATATGACTGTGCCTCTGAAGCAAATTCTCTTCCTTTTTAAACATATGCAGTAGAACTGAAACAGCCTGCATCTTTATCAGTTATTTGAGGTTTTCTTCCTACATTTGACACCCTCACTATTTTTTTCCCATTTGTATGTCCTGTTTCTCACTCTCATACTAGCACAGTGAGTCTGAACTTTTCTATTTTTAGTTGACTTTGCATTTTTCCCCATCCATTCCATCCCAGTACTCTTAACTGTAGTTAAATAGCTGCTAAATAACAGTATTTTTCCTTGTACAGATGGATTAAATTGCTTCTTGCCTGGGATGGCATCTCAAAAGAAGGAATTCACCATTAGGTTTAGTCTGAGCTGTTTTTCTAATCAGGGCACTCACAGGATCCCTTCTAATTGGAACTGTTTATTCATTACTAAAAAAAAATTGCTAGAGCAGGATTTGGCTTTGTTTTTCATTGTCTTTACAAACAGTAACAAGACAGAGCAAGACAGTTCTACTTGTACATCTAGATAAAGGAGTAAATGTGCAGAAATAATTAATCCCTCATGACAATAGAAAGATCTGCTATAATAAATTGGAAATGCTAAAGCTGAGATTATCTAATTCTTACCAATATTATTTTTCTGGTTTGATTTTTTTTTTTTTAACAGATTGATGAAGAGCCACAGTTTGAAGCACGCTTACGCATGTATGCATTCTTTGTGGTTTTCATTATTTTTGGATCTTTCTTCATGCTGAACCTTTTCATTGGAGTGGTTATCAGCAATTTTAACCAGCAAAGGAAAAAGATAAGTACTGCATGAGCTAACCCATGATCTCCTGTAATCCCAATTTGATTAAGTGAATGCTGGCTTGATATCTAGAGGTCTACCATTTTGAAATAAGTGTCTGACTAGATAAATTTAAAATAATAACATTTCAAACCAAGTTTTGAAAACAGGAATCCCTTCTTCCTCAAGGTTTTTACCTGTGAATTATATTTTCCTGCCAAGTCCTGAATTAACTCTAAGTAGAGGATGAGGAGGAAGGAGTGAGTAGCTTTAGAAGTGAGAAGTCAAAAAAGTTACCTAGACTTTGCTACAGGAGAGTGGAATTCTTTTCTTCTGCTTTGAAGATTTGCTCTGGGGAACAGAAAAACCCTTTTTGCTGAGAGTGAGCACCTCACAAATGTGAGCAGGGTAATCAATCATGGAAGGAGTAACCTCTGCTTTCCTGGCAAAGAACCTTGAAAAGGTCCTGTCCATAGAACATCTTGTCAAACTAGCTACACTTCAAAAAGTCATTCATCTACAAAATAAATCTACAAATTAATTTAGTGAGGTTTTAAAATAATAGGGATCCAAGCCACGACCCCAGGAAGAGACTGTGCAGAAATTTAAAGGCTGCTTAAAGCCCATGAAGCAATGACTTCATGCTGCAAGCACTTTTCTCCTCACAGTTGTTATATTCCCTGTTCTTGTTATTCAGTAAGAAATAGAAGGCAAAATCTTTGAATGCAAAATGCAGCAAAGAAAAGCAACAGTAATATCTGTCTGGAATACTTCACCTTCCTTGTGCCAAGCTTATTTATCAATTGAGTCCTGACTCATTTAGGGGTTTAAAGTATCCAGAATATTGAAGGAAATTGTGTCAATTTAGCCACTTGGAAGTCTTACAAGAAATAAGCATCTTGCTAATTGAAAACATACCAGGAAAGTAGACCCCAACAGGAGGTTTACAATTTCAAGGTTCCCATTTGGAAGGCAGAATTTCTACTGGAATAATTTATTATTTCCATGGGCTGACTTACACACCAAGTGTCAAAGCATTACTGCCTTTGGTAGAGAGAGATAGAAACAAAACCCACAATAAATTCTTCTGTTCTCTGAATTTGGACAGAGAAAAGATGTATAAAGATTGAAGAACAGCAGTCCAACTTCACTGTAAGAATTTCTTTTTATAACAAAGTCCCAGTACAATAATCCCAATAGATAAAAAAGTAAAGTAGTTTAAAAGCTTGAACATTTGCTAGAAGTTTATGTAGATGTAACACTTCTTTTTCTTTTCTTAGCACATGCTGTAACTGACATTTTTTATTTTTCATTTTTCTCTTTCATTTCTTTTCTGCTTCTTTGGGCTTTTCACTGAGAGTCCATGTAGTGAAGTTAAGCAGAATTTTCAGAGGTTTTGCTGGAGTGATTCCAATTGCAGATGCCCTGCTGTGCATTGTTATGTATTTGTTGTACAAAATGCTGATCACTCAGTGCTTTTATGATGAGTGATTCCTGAATACTGGGTTCCAAGGGATTGCTCAGTAATGCAGGTGGTGTGGATGTTAATAAGAAATTTATTTCTTATTAACAGGAACTTCCTATAGAACTTGGTCCCAAAATTCTTATTCATCATCCTCTATTTGCTTGCTAATCCAGCAATCTACTTCTGCTTCTGCCTTTCCAAAAAAATATAAAATATTCCACTTCTTGATGAATCTTATGTAATTTTAAAAATAGGAAATAGATTTGCAAAACTTTGAAAAGGCTCTCACACTTGAGGGAACTGACTTGGGATCACAGCCTGGACTTGACTTTCATGATCAACCCAGATCAGATCAAGGGGAAAAGGAGAAATGGTGAAGACACATTTGGTCTCTGTGCTCTCTTAGGTCCCACTCATGACAACTGTAACTTACTGTCTTTAACATAAATTTATTGGTATTTATTTGACTGCATCTGAACAACAATATTTTTTCTCTTTACTTAGGTGGGAAAGATCTATTTTTGACTGAGGAACAGAAAAAGTACTATAATGCTCTAAAAAAACTTGGATCCAAGAAACCCCAAAAACCCATCCCAAGACCATCGGTGAGGCCACGTTAAGAAGAATATGACAGAGGATATAAAGATGATGATATTTAAACTCAGTAGCCAGGAATTGGGAAATAAACCTTGCATTAGAGACCTTCATCTTCCTCAGTCAATATAGAATTTAGATTTTATTCTCTTTTGTTGAAAAATTCCATCCAACACAGTCATCTTTGAGGGTATTAACTAAGAAAATTTACAACCTATTCACCTACTCAAATGTGCAAACTTTTTAAACCAGTTCATATGAAGTATTTGATATTCATAACATGATCTTGGTTATTTAAGTTGCATGATGTTGCTTCTGCAACTAGATTGGAATATTGCAGGTGATAATGAATACAGAGCATTACATGCCCCATGGCTATTATTTGCTTTTAAATAATCTTATGCTTTATTCCTTACATTTTCTTAAATTTAATTCCAGGCCTGGCTTTGCACAGTAACTACTCAGAGTTTTTCCTGCTTATGACATTTTAATTAGAATTGCTTATCCTAAAATATCTGCTTCAATAAGTGTTTCTATTAAAAGAGCAATCACAATGTACTCTGAATGTTTTCCTGCTATGTATTTTTTTCTAAGCCAATGTGCTTTCTTGATGCCTGAAAATACTGAAAGTATGGTGAGTTTTCTTTGAGAGTCTAAAGAAATCACCCCAAGCTGCTTCTAGTAGCTTGTTGTTAATTTATGTTATGTTAAATTTCTTTTCTAAGCACAAATTACTGATTAATATTTGAATGCAGGCTGGGTCTCAGAAGTGGCATTAAGTAGTTCTCCTTTCCACAGAATGCATTCCTGGGATTGATGTTTGACATCGTATCTCACAAAGCTTTTGACATCACCATTGTGATTTTCATCTGTCTAAATATGGTCGTTATGATGGCAGAAAACAACGACAGAGCCACCAAGGAGGTTCTGAATAAAATCAACTATTTTTTTGTGGCTGTATTCACCGCAGAATGTGTCATAAAAATACTGGCCTTAAGGCACTACTACTTTGGAAGTGGCTGGAACGTGTTTGATTTCAGTGTTGTGATCCTTTCAATAGTGAGTAAGTATCAATCACTAGGTCAGGTAAAGTGTCTTGCCAGTATTAAGTCAAATTCCTGCTTGAAGTAACCACCTACATATGTTTGATAAACAAATTCCAGATCCATTGCACTATTTCAAACTAATCACTGCTAAGTGATTCCTTCTAAAAGGATGCATTTTTGTTTTCCCTTATATTTTTGCAGAATACTAAAAGGTAAATGGAGTTTTCAAATTTTTAAGTTGATTTTTATTGAGGAATTAACAGAATATTAATTTAATTCAGTAATATATTTTTAAACTTATTATACTTAAACTGTTGTCTAATGTTTTATGCTTTCAATTTACATGTTGTCACATTAGCTGTTGTTTTCACAGTAAAAGAAAATTCAGGTTAAAAATACATTTCCATCAAAAATGGGGATTAATTTACTTTTCCAGAACTTCCTCTTAAGAAGGCAAAGCCCAGTTGTAGATTTGGAAAGCTCAGGAAAATTTGGTTGCTCAACACCATACTAAACCTAGACCACTATTTATGACTGAAAAAAATTATTAAAACTGGCTTGTATTTTTTTGGCTCTTTAAATAAGACTAGATGCTGATCATTGACTCTGCAAAGGGTCATATACAGCTCTAGTTTCTTATACCATTTATTTTGTCTGTTCTTTCTAGTCAGGCTCAGGTCATATCATATAATAAAGGATGGGAAAGAAAAACTGCTCTGAGTTCTTGACTTCTTGCCGAAGCATGGTCGCCTTTTGCCATCCTGTACAACCCAGAAAAATTGTGACTTCTTAACTCTCCTGTTTGTAATCATTTGCATCACTACTGTGATAGCAGGGTCATAGAATGAGGTGTTATGGGAGATAAACACTGAGAGACAATCTTCCTTTATTTTCTTCTTGCTCTTCTCTGATCTCATTTAAGTACCAAGCATTAGTCAAAGCCTCACATTTAGGCTTTGGCCTAAAGAAGAAGCAGCACTCAGAAAGTGGCTCAGAGGCAGTCCCAGAGCTTCCAGCACAAGACCAGAATGGATTTAATAGGATTTTTAGGTACTTGAGCAATGAATGCATAAATTCACTCCCCATATTAGAGAAACTTGGAATAAGGAAGCTTCCAAACTATGCAGAAATCTTGATGCCTCTTTTATATTGAAAGATATTAGTTTTTCTTTCTTTGCCTAAACTTTTATCTGAGTTTCAGAATTGATGACGTTTATATTGAGAGCAGTGTGATGTGATCAGTGTTACTGCCAACACCTAAAGCACAGACTATAACAAAACAGACATTAATTTGACTAACTTGACCTGACAACATTTTGTTTTCCTTTGCTTTTCAAAGGTCTTGGAGTTTCTGAAGTGTTTAAATCTTTCTTCTCCCCTACGGTTTTGAGAACTCTTCGTTTGGCGCGGGTTGGCCGAATCCTGAGAATAGTTCGCAAAGCCAAAGGAATTCGAACTCTTCTTTTTGCACTGCTGATGTCTCTTCCTGCACTGGTCAACATTGGCCTTTTGCTTTTCCTGATTATGTTCATTTATGCCATCGTGGGCATGGCAAACTTTGCCTGTATCCCCTTGCAGGGTGGGATTGATGATATTTTCAACTTCCAAACATTTTGTGGTAGCATTCTCTGCCTCTTCCAAATTACCACATCAGCTGGCTGGGATGGTCTTCTGGCCCCTGTGCTAAAAGCATCTGATTTATGTGCTCACCAATTAAATGTCACAGAGCCAAACAAAAATAATTGCGTAAATAAGGGCTTTGGTATTTTATATTTTGTAAGCTATGTCATTATATCATTTCTCATTGTTGTAAATATGTACATAGCTGTCATTTTAGAGAACTTCAGTGTCGCCACTGAGGAAAGCGCAGATCCTCTTTGTGAGGATGACTTTGATATGTTTTATGAGACATGGGGAAAATTTGACCCTCTGGCAACGCAGTTCATAGATTATTCTGCTCTTTCAGACTTTGCAGATGCACTGGCAGAGCCCTTGCGTATCCCAAAGCCTAATAAAATCCAGCTCATAGCCATGGACATCCCTATAGTTAGTGGAGATAGGATCCACTGCTTGGATATCTTGCTGGCTTTCACTAAAAGGGTCTTGGGAGAATCTGGAGATCTGGAGAGTCTTGAATTAAACATGGAAGAAAAGATTGCAGCTGACAGTCCACCTAAAAGTTGTTACAGCCCAATTTCTTCTACCCTTAGAAGAAAACAAGAGGAAGTGTCAGCTCTTGTTATTCAAAGGGCCTTCAGGAGGTATTTGAAACAACGTTCTCTTGAAAGTATGTCCTTAAACCATTGTAAACATAACAGTGCTGTCTTTGAACAAGAAATACAGGACAAGCAAAGTCTTCTTGAATCAGTCCTTAATGAAAATCATGGTAGAAAGGCAGATAAATTACGTCCTACTTCTTCCATATCCCTCCCTTTATTTTATGATGGTGTTGCTGAGACACACAGGAATAGGCTTAACACATGAGGTTGCCCCTGGCTGCAGCATTTTCAATTAAACCAATGACACTTATTTTCAGATGGAGACCATGTTTTATTCCACAAATACTCTACATTTAGAATAATACTGGCAGCCTTCAAGTATTGTAATTGTTCAGTTTTGCCTATGCTCCTTAAAGCACTTAAGATTTTAAAAACCATGGCATAAATATTAGAGGAAAATCAAACCATGGAATTTTTTTCCTCAGCTCCTGGAGTTGGTGAGTTAATTTTTTCAGCTGTAATTTTTATATTAGTTCACATGTTTACAGAAGTCTGTAAAAGATCAGTTGTTAGCACTTATTTATAAACACACAAGGATATAGAATAAGGTACATGTCTTTAGGGAGGAACAATTTTTCCAAACAGGCTTTATTGTAGAAAAGTTAAATAATAAATGCACTTCTGCAAATAAGCTCACTCAAGACACTTGGGTATATTCAGCCTCTAATTCTGATGGTTTTGGGACCATCCTCCTCCTAATATCTTTGAATGGATTTGTTTCTGTCTAAGGATTTTTGAGGTATCTTTACAGAAACACCGAAAGGGATTTAACAGATCATCCTCAGTTGCCTGTGCCTGAAAGTTGTACATAATTTGTTCTTTGTATTATTCAATGTAGGAAAATTGTTGTAATCATAATTAAAATCAAAGAATGTTGTGCAAGAGGTACTGTTTCCAGAAAGGAATAATTGTACATAAAATCCCATCATTACACATTTTCCCTGGAAAGCACTACTTAGTAATCTGAAAAGAAATTCATGATGTATCTTGTGAGGTAGCATTTATTAAATTTAAATAAATCATTTATTTAATTGATTCTGAAAAAATGTATGAACAATGTGTATTATTTTACTGATTTTTTTTTGTTGTTTTGCAGTTTGGAATACGACTGATTTAGATTCTTCAATAAAGACATCAGATGCTTAACATGTTTTTGTCTATTTTCTAACAAGTATCTTCAATTTCATTTATTACAAGACAATCTATTTTGGAGGGGTAGAACAACAGTAATGTAATTTTTCCAAAGTAGCTACCTATTAGCACAAGAAAACTGAAAATATTTTGCTATTCACAGGAAATCAGAAAGAAATCACAGGATCAGAAAAGATTTAGCATTTTCAGGCCAAGAATAGAAAGAATAAAAAGGTAATGAAATTGTACTGTCATTTGCCTTGTTAAAGACTATCAAAATTGGACAGATTTAGTCAAAACTAAGCTATTTTTGGGACAAATAAAGGCACAGGCAAGCTAAGAGTTAAAGAGCTCAGATACAGTCTAGTCTGAACTAGATTTATTATGATCAAACATTGGAACAGCCTGCCCAGGGAAGTGGTGGAGTCCCTGTCCCTGGAAGCATTCAAAAAATGAGTGGCTGTGGCACTTGGTGCTGTGGCTAAGTGGGAATGGAGGTGTTCAAAGGGTGAACTTGATGATCTTGGGGGTCTTTCCCCAAACTTAATTATTCTATGATTGCTTTCAGAACCAGCTTCTGGTCATAAAAAGAGATCTGCAGAGCTCTCAGGAGAACTCGGGGTCAGTGGAGGCAGAGATACCAGCTGGGTCTGTCTCCTGTCCAGCCTGGATTGTTGCATGCACAGTGATGCTGGTCAGGTGAAACTATAAATTTTATTCATTGTGAGCTGGAATGAGCTCTGGAATGAACCAACAGCTTTTGTTCAACGATCAAGCTCCATTAGATGGCAGCATTTACTGTGGTTTAGGATGTCTTCAGTGAAACAGGTGAAACTCACACACTTCAGCATACAGGTACTAAATTAATTCTAAATTGTTCAGAAGAAAAGTGTCACAAGTCAATTTTTTTTTGTCCTGGGCTTTTAAGTTAGGCACAGGTCTCAGTAAGTGTTTGTTTTCTGATTGTTCTGGTGTCTGATAGACCTTAATGGTGGTGAAAAAAAAAAAATTTCCTGTGCTTGGACTTTCTAGAGGGGTCGTTCAAGCATTTCTCTATAGCACTTTAGAAGGAAATGTTTCTTAGAGAAGAGGTAGGACTGCTTTGTTCTTGCATATTGGAAAAGAAGGAAAGATTTGAAAAGTCATGTAAGAGAATTTTAAACATTAATCATTCTGATCTTTGCAATTAAAAAATATTTGTTTTAATGCAGCACCAGGTTCTCTGTCCATACCTGGAAATACTTCAAAGATGAACACTTCATTTCTGTTGCAGGGGCAGAAATTTTGGACAAAATCACACCTGGCCTGCACACATACTTAGTGATTATGTCACCTCAGCAATGTACAAAACCACCTGAATTCACCATGGGGTTAATTTAAAAGTCTGATTAATTCTTTAATATTGCTTAATCATTAAAATTACTTTAGCATGCTGTTGCAGGGTTGGAAGGAGAATGGTGAAATCCAGCTGCTGCAGCTTCTTCCTGCTGGATTTGTCCAAAAGTCAGTTCAGTTCCTGAAGCAATAAAGATTTTATTTTATAAGTCTCTAAATTGTGATGAGTTAAAGCAGTAAACAGGTGGGAGCTTTTGACAATTCTGGTAATCTAGAACTGTGAATCCCTCCAGGTAAAACTGCCTGGATTTCTGTGTACTCTGTGAGAAATTCAGGAATATTTGGAACACAGAGCAAAAGTATTCCTTTCTGTTTGTGAAGTTTGACACTTAAATCAGAGAACAGCAGAAACAAAGGAATATTGGATCCATCCAGTGAGGAAATACTGGGAATGTAGAGCTCCCAGGGAATTTCTGAGGGTCAGCAGCAGAGTACAAACCAGCATTGCCTCCTTAGTTGTGGTGCAGATCTCTGTTTTACATTTCCAAGTGTCACTGATCCTGTGTAGAAATAGAATGAAACAGACCTCTGGAAAATAAGAGTTTTTTCCACTTTTGTGGTAGCCCTGTGTCCCTGAGAACAGGATCCCCAAAGGTTTTGTGGAAATTGTCCTTTTACTTTCTGGAGTTCCTCAGTTACTGCTCACCTTTGCAATGTTTGCACTACCCACTGTTTCCTCAGGACTCAAAAGAGGCCCCATGTGTAAATAAGTTATTTGAAAGGAGATATCCTCTAGTGGAAGGTCCCTGCCCATAGCAGGGAGGTGGGAACTGGATGATCTTTAAGGTCCTTTCAACCCAAATCATTCTGTGATTCTATGACAGATACCAGAAAGAAAATCTCATCTTATCCCTGAACCTGCCAGAGGTAATTGTGCTTGACAAGTGGTGTCATCTGCAATGCTACTGTCCTAAACATTCTCTCTCACCATGAGAAATCCTCACAACTTAGGTAGTGCAGGAAGACATCCCAAAAGATGCTTTTATAATTCATGTTTAGAGTGAATATTCCCACAAGATGAGCACACCGAACAACCTGAGCAGCTTTAGGAAGAGCTCAGAGTTATGGCTAGAAGTGGTGAGGAAGAGATCTGTTGTGTTGGGACCAAGCAGAACAAATTATTCAATATTTATGGTAAAAGTTTCACTGATGCAGGATCTGTGTTTAAATACTTCCATTAGCTACCACCAGCTAAAAGCAAGCCTGACAGCAGCCAGATGCTTTTCAAACTTAAATATTGTGGTTAAAGAGACATTTTAATCAACAACATGGGGGTTTATCAATTGATACTATTTGTATGTGCACTTCTAGTCTCTAGTCTAGGGCAAATTAACAAGAGATTTCTCACCTGCCCACCTCTGGAAATTAAATTGAGTCGTGTATGACATCTACAACATGTCAGATTTCTTTCTGCAAGTTTCTTCAGTACCCTCATCCATTAAATATGTTTGGATGAAGGTACTGAGTGGTGTCAGAGCTGAATGTGGTGGCACAAGTTGTGACTCCGCTCTGCCAGTTCCAGGGAAAATATGTGAAGACATCAACTTAGTAAGTGGTTTTATTGATCTTCAGACACTTTTGAAAGAGCAATAGAGATGTTTTGGCAGCTCCTCAGGAAAAAATAGCTGTTTGGGCAAATCTGTTGCAGTTGTCTGCTTTGTGGTTCCATGGAGTTAAGGTAAGAGAGGCCAAGTTGATTTTAATGACAGTCCTTACCTTAATGCAGAGCTGTTGGAGTTCTGGGCAGACTGAGAGCAATCAAAGTTTCCTCTCCAGTTTCCAGGGAAGCTGGGTTTATGCAGGAGCATTCCAAGGTTAGATACCATAGGTTAGATTTCACATAACAGCCACACTACCTTGCTGCCAAAACATTGGGTAGAATTTGTCCTTAGGGACAATTTAAAGTGGTCACCAGAAAGAGCAGCTCTTTCCTAAGTTTTCTTTTATATATTCATACCTTTCTTGAAATGAAGAGGGTAGAACTGGAGGTAGTATTTTAGTAATGCTACTAGTCTCAGCAGTCTCTGCAGAATTCATCAGCCAAGATTTCATACCCAACTCCAATTATCTATCTTTTGTGCTTGTGGCTGAAGTAATAACACAGACATGATGAGGCAAATAAAAAGCCATTCTTGTATTCTTTACTTGGTATAGTTTTTGCTGCTGCTACAGTGAAGCCTGTAACTGCTGCAGCCAGAAATCTGTGTTTGCATGACAAGACATATTCTCCAACATCTGTGCACAGAAATTCACCAGAATATTTCCAGCTGTGCCTTCCTCCAACTCCATCCTGAACAGAGAGAACAGAAAATTTTTCCCCCTTTCAATAACAGTAAGCTTCAATGGCAACAGGAGCAACAGAATTCCACCACAGCATCTTCAGAGAATGACATTTCCTTCCTAAACATAAATGGTGCCCATCACTCATTTATCAGGCTCTCTGACACCCCATTCAATAAAACACTTGTGCTTATGTCCATTGCACTTATCTTCCTCCTATAAATTATTTTGTCTGCCAGCTATGCACAAGACAAATCCTATGGCTGCCAAAACATCAAATGTGATGGGTAGCAGTTAATGTCCCTTATTTTCCTAAATGGGGAGCTCACCCCTAAACAGGCAGCCAGTAATACAGACCTCCAACAAATCCAGATAGGAAAGAGAGAATTAATGCACAAG